TTGCTTTGTTCACTCATGTCGGGTTTTCACAGGCAGCAGTCAGTGTCACCATGTTGTATGATGTGAATAAATTTGCAGATTAATGCTGAATCTCAGCAAGGTTGTCAAAAATATATCCAGGTCATATTTCATGAAAGAGAAAGAAGAGAAAAGAAAGCAAGAAAGAAAAAAGAAAGATGGACCTTTTTGTTTTTATCATTTTTACCTTAATCTTATGACAACACAATTATACTGTGTTTGCTTTACTTTTTGTTTATTCAAAAGAGATGGAAATCTTCTTTCTCCGCTTATAAGTAGCTGTTTATTCTGATTAAAATGTCAGCTTGCAGAGCACACTCAGTGGGGAAAATAAGTCTTCAACAAGTCACGTTTCTCAGAAAACATATTTCTAAAGATGCTGTTGACTTGAAATGTTGGTAACAACCATGGAAATCCATATATGCAAAGAAAACTAAACTAGTTACATTACAAATTAAGTTACGCATAATAAAATGAAATTATGCAGGAAAAAGTGTTGAACACATAAGGAAAGGGAGGTGTAGAAAGGCAAAAGGCAAGACAGCAGCTGAAATCTCTCAGTATTTATTTAGCAAGCCTCTGCCCTTCGCTATTGTAAATTAATATTAGCTGCTTCAGTCCAACATTTACATTAGCAGGAGGATAAATATGAACCAGAGTGGACATTTCAGCAAGGCATTGATCCAAAACACAGACAGGTAAACTATTAAATGCTTTCATAGAAAGAAAATCAAGCTGTAGAATGGCCTGGCCAATCACCTGACTTGAATCTAATAGGAAATACAAATTAAAGGTCCTATTTTATAGAAGAAACCCACAGAACCATCCAAATTTTTACACTGTTAAAATCTGTGAAAAAAACACACCTGACCTGTGCATGTGGCTTCATTCTCCATATGAGAGGTATCTTCAAGCTGCCATCACCAAAAAAGCCTTTTATATAAAGTATTAAAGATGACGTGTTCAACACTTGTTTTCCCTGATGTATGTTAATATATTCCAGTGACCAGGAAAATTAAAGTTTTGAATTTTAGATGCATTTTGAGCTGATATGTTTGGCAGTTTATTTGAAAAAAAAAGAAATCGACTATAAATGGCCATAAAATGGGATTTATTTTCTTTTTGCCTTTTTTCTTTTCGCTTCCAACATTTTTTTGATGAAATATGACCTAGGCATGTTTTTTGACAGGCTTCGTGAGATTGTCTTTTTAACCGCCGGCACCCTGTGGACCTTCACCATCTGTACTTCTAGGGCCCGAATTTCACCTTATCACCCCATTCCTCTTCTTTCTCTCTCTCCTCGACCTCATCCCCTGAGACGCTTGATTGCAGCACATGATTAACTGGCTCAACATGCAATCTAAACCCAGCACACACGGCTCCGCGCAGGCCCACAGCTGGTCTTCAGAAGAATCCAAAGCTGACTTTTTTCTCCACTCTCCCAGGGAGCACTGAAGAAAAGGAGAAAACCCTTCAATTATGGATGGAGGTCAGAGAAAGAAAGTGAGAGAGAGAGAGTGAGGAAGGAAGAATGCAGGAAGACAGAATACGGCTCAAGTTCCTGGCGTTTTTCTCGCATGTCTTGAAGCTGGAAGCCACAGCGGCTTCTATGGGTAAGAGCTCCAGCTTAAATGGGAACCAAATGTTTGTGTAAGGCTTTCCTCGGTGCGAGTGCACTGTTTGTTTTTTGAGGCGGCTGGAATTTCTCCACCGGCTGCCAGGCTATTCTGTGGGCGGCTCGAGAATCCTCGCGGCCCTTCTTTCGCTTCACAACTGAGCCCGTTGCGTGGCGCTGAGGGGATATTTTTTGCACCTTATTTGGGAGATGGGTGTTATGACAACAAATATCATCACTGCAGCATGGTGCGCTTAAGGTGTTCATGTGTTTTGTGTGTTGTGAAATCATCTGCCAAAATGGAAAATATAATCATCTTTCCAAGGGTTGAAAAAAGCATCTGCTCAGCACAAATTTCCCCTATTTGCTTCAAAAAGTTGCACAGTTGATCAATAACTAAGCTGTATTCACTGCAAACACACAGAAAAAAATTTGGAGAAACATACAATATTCAAAAATGTAAAATATTCAATTCATGTTTATTTCTATAGCGCTTTATAATGTAGATTGTGTCAAGGCAGTTTATTATAGAAGTCTTAGTAATTTGAAAATGTTTCAGTCCAGTTTTCAAAGTTGAAGTTCAGTTTAGTGTGGTTTAATTTGCACTACTGAAAGTCCAAACACTGAAGAGCAGATACATTGATGAGCAGCTCCACAAGACCCAAACCAAATTTCACCAATTTATGAAAGTGAAGGAAAAAACCCTGAAGAGACACCAGGGGCATGACCATTTCTTCTCTGGCCAAACCTCTTGTGCAGAGCAGCAGTCTAGGCACCGGAGGCTGGAGAACGCTGGATGTCCATCGTGGAGAAGCTGCAGGTGTAAGTAGGTCACCGGCGAGGTTCATACTTTATTTTGATGGTCCATTTGTTGAATTTATGTTACATTGCATATACATGGTAACTAATTCTCATTACATTGCAAATAGACTGTTAGGTTGGGGTTGGGGTTAGGGTTAGTGTAAGTTAACATGTACTTGACATGCAAGGTTTCTTATAGTCAGTTAAATGTCTGTTGAAAGAGCAGTATCAACAGATGTTAAGCAAACAATCTACTAATACCCAAATAAACCATCAAAATAAAGTGTTACCCCACAGAATCAATATAGAAAATCGTCTGTCACTGGGGTCTTTCAGGAATCAGTCTCATGCTCTTAATATCTAAGCATCTGTAAATTTTACTGTTTACAATTATAGGACACTGTACTCTTAGAATAATTCAAGTGTTTAAAACGTTGTCGTCATTTACTCAACCTCTTTCCTTCCAAAGAAGACTTTAGTTCATCTTCAGAACACAAATGAGAACACTTTTAAGCAAATCTAAGAGGTTTTGGACCTGATGGGTCATTCTTACCTGTCAAACATTTGAGCTTATACTATAAAGATATAAAAGTCCAGCTCTTCTAAGGACACACAAACAATAATTAGAGAGTATAGATAGAAGATCAATAACGGTTGATTTGCATACATGAACTGACTTCATTGGTTAATCCTGAAGCTCCAGTATATGCATGACATATGTTAAAGTATACATTTATATAATCTAGTTCTAAATTATATATATATATATATATATATATATATATATATATATATATATATATATATATATATATATATATATATATTCTTTGGTTTTAATTATATAATTTAATTCAGCAGCACAGGTGACAGAGACGTTAAGGCCCGATCCCAATTCTATTTTGTACTGCTTCCCCTTCCCCGGGCTACAAAATGTATCCCTAAGAAATGGGACAGCACTACAACACCTGCACATGTCATCGCGATCTCTTACTTCATATGAGATTGGTGATTGCGACTGCGGTAATTAATCCAGTTGTCTAATTTTTTTTTCTTATCTTCAGGAAATCACCGAAGGCAAATATTATGTTATCATAACGATGAAATGTGGCAATAAGATTGTAATTGTTCTGTGCATTTATATCGTGACCATATTCATCTATGTAAACACACAAAAACAACATTAACATTGTACCAGACAGTAAAAAGGTAATTCCCAGCCACTAGACTTTTCTGACAGGGTATTTGAGTGTCAGATATGAAAGTAAAGTATAGTTGATATGATAGTAAGTATAGTTTTGGGAACTACTTTACAGGGGTTATTATTAAGGATAGCGAAAATTTTTAGGTTTTTATTATAGCAGGGTTTTTTTTAAAGCATGACGGTAAAACACAAACGCGTTATGAATATATTAACATATGCTTGTTTAAAAAAAATAAATAAATAAATCGTAATAATGACAAAAAATACAGATTTGTGCATCTCCTGACTTCCATGTGCATCCATGTTGCCGTTGTAGATTGTATATTCTGGGAACTTTTCTTACCCCTTGGTTTCGAGTGTGGTCCTGAAAAATTTCTGTCTCAAGGGCTATCTAGCCCTTCCTCTTAGTCCTACGCCTTCAAGCTAAAGACCATTGGGACACCCCTACCCCTTCATGTGACGATGTGTAGGGGAAACGGCTTATGGGGTTGGATTGGGATTGTCTAAACTTACAGTATTGCCTTTCTAAGCACTGGCAGATCTCAAGGTGATGCAAATACTATGGGCAGGGCCTCAATGACTAATGCCTTAGTCTCTGGGTGATTCTAGGTGGTAAAGGCAGGTGAAACCTCAGGATCTATTCAAGACTCTAAGACAAGATTTTCAACTAAAGCTTTTCATGCCCATTTTCTATACGCTGCCCCTCCCATAACACGTAACACATAGGACGACTCTGTCCAAATTAGACTCGATAGACTTGCAGACTGTTGTTAGACTGTAACTTCTTTGACTGTGGACTTCTTGAAGATGCTGTTTGACTGCAGAACAACCAACATGTCTCAATAAAGAATTCTGCTTGTAATGAGACTCCTAGACTGGGTTTTTCATATTTCCAACACATGCAAGAATGTCTCTCATTGACTCTCAGGTCAAGCAAGCATGGTTGAGCTTTATTGCCCAAAATTAAATGTTGTAAGCATTAAATGTGTGCAAAAGCCTAAAAAAAATCTGTTGATATTCTAAATTGGTTATCCATCCTCAGACTTGGATGAAACCACTCGGTTCTTGTGGATTTAATATTGTTATTGTCTTTTTATATTAGTTTTGAAGTGTCATGCATTTTTTGACTTTTTTGTACATAAAATTGGAATATATACATATAATTTTTTTTTTCTCCAAGTCAATCGCCTTTCTTTATATAACACTTTATACCATACAGATAATATCAGAAAGGATCTAGAGGCACTAATTGAATTAAATATTTGTAACTGTGACATTTCATCAATGTGAAATAATTTAAATTCAACACTGAACATTTATATGAAACTAAAACTAAAATTTATTACACATTTTTTGTCACAGGGAAGGCATGCATCCTGAAATGTCTGCTGGCCATTCATAAGATCTTCCGGGAGAATGATCCGGCCTATATCCTCAATGACCTCTATATCACAGACTACTGCATCTGGATCCAGAGGGTTAAGTATGTTCTATACAGCACACTGTCTCATTATTCTGCCAACCTTAATGTAACTGGTCCTGTTCTGATTTTCTGCTAATCATACAGTTCATGAGTCCCTGCTGAGCTTTAAAACTCAAGTTCATTAAAGCAATAAGCCACAAGAGATGAGTATTACAGTTTTACAAGGAGTAAGGCTTCTTGTTAAGAGAATATGTTAAATATTCATATGCGCATACATACAATTATGTGCATTTTACATCACACTCAAAAGGGGAAAATATGATATTATATTTTGCACAAATAAACATTAAAAAAGAAAGACATACTCTTTCATTATAGTTAAGCACATATTCATTCCATTTTCAGTTTAATCTAATGCATACTCAGGTTGTATGATTTTTGTTTTCTTCAAAGTGATGAATGAATGAATTTGTCTTTTGTGCCGAAAGATCATGTTCCATGGAGGTATTTTCTAAATTTTCTTCTGTGAACATATCCAAACTCAATTTTTACTTAAGTTCTTTGGAGAACTTTAAAGGAGATTTTTACAGTATTTTACTTTATTTTTTAGGGTTAGATGGTTTTCTTTAAGCCTCAGATTCCCGGTTTTGGAATAACTGTTTTTCTGCCAAATATTGTCTTATCCTAGCAAAGATGTTAATGGAATTCTGATTTTATTCAGCTCTCAGGTGATTTTAAAATCCCAATTTTTTTATTGAATGTCCCAAAAAGGTTTTTTTGCCCTTGAGTCAGAGTCTGAGTCATTTGATTTTGTGTATCTACCGATTCCTAAACCTGATCCGATATAATACATCAAAAAGAATAAAGAAGAGCGAAGAAACAGATCCAGGATGTTTCTTTTTTTTTATTTAATTCACCTTATTTTAACATTCAACAACTCTGTTAACAAACAGAGCACTTCTGTGAGGTACCTTGAACAATCAAGGAATAAATAACATCAATTCTTCACTTTTTGGACTTTAGAAAACACTCTCATTCACACACGTACACTACGGGCAATTTAGCTTATCCAGTTTACTTGTACCGCATGTCTTTGTACTTGTGGGAGAAACCGGAGCACCCGGAGGAAACCCACATGAACGCAGGAGAACATGCAAACTCCACACAGAACTGCCAGCTGACCCAGCCGAGGCTTAAACCACGGCATAACTATAGATGTGTTAAAAATAACATATATGTTCAAGTCCTGATCGGGAGGTAACGTCCAATTCTAATTGAGTCTAAAACCACGTGATTGTGTCTGATTTCCGATCATGTGATCGGATCTGGACATCCCTCCTTATGACGGATTTTGTGGTTCAGGGTCACATATTAAAAGTAGTACAACAAATACTGTCATGGTGTGTAAAACACTGCTATAGGAAAAATACAATCACACAATAAATATTCTAAACAATAAATGTGCAATTAGGTATTGTACTTAATAATTATTTTAATGTATTAGTTGCATTATGGTAATGAGAAATGAAGGAAAACATTCTTATTTTGACTTGCACTAATTAAAGTAAAATCACAATGGTTCCAAAAGAAAGCATTATTTTATCTGAGCAAAACATTTCTCTGTTGATTCTTTCTTTGGGGTTGAGACATTGTCCAGACGTAATTTTGTCAGCTTTGGCATGGATTGACCTTGTATCGCATGAAGTAAAACAGAGTACCTTAAACCAATAAGCAGTAGTAGACAGCATAACACAATTAACACAAATAATTAAGTTTTATTTCATCTTTTTGTTGTTGTTGTTGTTGTTGTTGTTGTGGTTCCATCTCCGCTAGTTAAACACTTGAACTTGAATCACGATGAATGGTATTGCAATCATGATTTCTCCATTTTTTTAGTATTTTTTTTAAATCACTTCCACGTTTGAAATGGGAACTACAGCCGGTGCATAATTCAGTAATGAGATCTACTTCCCAGGCTGGTGTGCAGCTTAAAATGGTGCGTTTGTCTATAAAAAGTCCAGCTGAAAAATGTGCATCTGAAGTCGTAGGCCCAGTGCCCAGACGTGAAAAGCATCCTGCGGGGATTACACCGTAATTTTTCGTCCCTGTGTTTTGCCAAAGCGTAGATTTTCTGGCAAGAATGTGGCCTTGACAGCTAATTAATAATGAATGTGTAAAATAGCAGAGTTTAAACCAGCCTGTTTTTTTTTTTTCCAATGACACAAAGGGAGGAAAATAAAGGAGAAATTGGCTTTGGATACAGAGACTCTTTGTCCGCAATCCACAGAAAAGCTGCACAGTTCCATTGAAAAATTCAGTCATGCTTTCTAGGCCTTCGGGTTATGAAGGGCAAATTTGATAATGGATTGTCGTATCTTCATTCCCTCCCCCTTGAAATAAAATTAGCATATTATTTCTTTTAAAAATAATGACTTCTAAGCATAGTCCTCCATCAATCACCAAATACATTATCTGACACATCAGTAGCAATGATCAGCCATTGAATACCTGTGTTCCTCAATGCACTTCATTGAGCAGAACAAAAGAAAGCCAGACCGGAGAGCTGCTGAAAAGCGCAGGATGTACGACAGCACTAGTGCCACTAATGTATCTTAGTCATACTTGCCTTGAGGCATTTGACATCTCTCAACATCATGCTGAAAATTGATTTCCAGTTTGCATGCTTTTAGAGTATCTTTAGTCGTCTTGAAGCAACGCTGAAACTTTCCCTTTGAGTAGAGACAAAGCCGCTCTTGTCATGGGAAGTGACTGCAGGAGACTCGCTCCTCCTTTTAAGTGCTGGAGCATTTGATCAAATCCCCACTGCTCTGGTTTGTGTAGACAACTCCCTGTTATCATTGTAGGTTTGTTGTGACAGCGTTTTCAACATCTGACATATCCTCTGTCAGATTATTTAAACAATTCTCTTTCCCAAAAAATCCTCCCAGAAGGACGCCCCAGTCCAGTTATCAGAGCGGGTTATCTTTGGCTGCATTCACAAGTGCGGTTGTCAGTTTAGTGTTATACTGCAACATTTTGGAGTGCAAAAGAAGAATTCAGATTTTTTCTTTTTCATGGCATTTCACACATCCATCTGTCTATCTGTTGTTCTTTTTTTTCTTCATTCCATCATACTGTCTATCAAACAGTTTATAAGTCCAGTATTTTCTCTGTATGTCATTCTATATTTACATTAAAGTCTGCACGAACTGGAAGCTGCAACGTTTTTTATTTATTTTATTAATTTTTTCATATTGTGATGTGCACGGTTCCTAGAGAAATGAAATATTGAATGAGAAAAGTGGGTGTGACTTGTTTTTTCAACTGCGAGCTGATTGGATGTAGTAAAGTAGGCACTTCATGCTGAAAGATCAGGAGAAGGGTTTAGGGAGAGTCATTACAACCTAACAGACACCTCCTTCTCACCATTTCCGTTTGCTGTCAAAACTGACAGTTGGAGGGGCCAATTCCTCAGACAGATGTAATCTGAGATGTGCATTTTCAGATTTTAATTTGAGATTACAAGGACAGACCTTTTTTTTTTCTTAATGACATGCACAGACGAATTGTTCACCACAAAACTAGCAATGTGAGCTAATAAAATCATGTGGTTAGTTTTGATTTCATTTGTACTTTCATCTTTTTATTATGCTGTTATATTCATCCGTCTGTCCATCCATCTGCTGTTTCATGCCTCCAAAGCCCTGTCATTCTAATTTTCTCATTTTCTTGATTGTTTTATCTATCACTCTCAGTCAGTGTTGGGTTAATTCATTCAAAAAGTAATTAATTGCCAATTACATCAGTGAAATTAAATGATGTTTTTCTAAAAAGTCATGTAAGTACTTGACTTAATTTCCCAAAATCCCACTGCATAGACAATTGAAAAACTTACTTTTAAAAATTAAAGGCAAACAGGGCCTTTTTACTGTATTTAAGAAATAATTAAGAAAAGTTAAACATCGGGCAGCATGGTGGCACAGATGGTAGCACAATCGTCTCACAGCAAGAAAGTCACTGGTTCGAGCCCCGGCTGGGTCAGTTGGCTTTTCTCTGTTGAGTTTGCATGTTTTCCCCATGTTGGCGTGGGTTTCCGCTGGTTGTTCCAGTTTCCCCCACAGTGCAAAGACATGTGCTATAAGTGAATTGGGCCAGCTACATTGTCCGTTGTGTGTGTGTGTGTGTGTGTGTGTGTGTGTGTGTGTGTGTGTGTGTGTGTGTGTGTGTGTGTGTGTGTGTGTGTGTGTGTGTGTGTGTGTGTGTGTGTGTGTGTGTGTGTATGTGTGTGAATGAGTTTGTATGGATGTTTCCCAGTGATGGGTTGCAGCTGGAAGGGCATCCGCTGCGTAAAACATATGCTGGATAAGTTGGTGGTTCATTCCACTGTGGTGAATTTAGATAAATAAAGGGACTTAGCTGAAAAGAAAATGAATGAATGAAGTTGTATTGCTCTGTTGTAAGGGCTGGGTGATTTGGCCTAAAATCAAAATCTTGATTAGTTGAACATTTTAACCCGATTGCGATTAATGTTTTTTTTTTTTTTTTTTTTGCCCCTCATAGTTCACTGACAGGTTTTGTACAGTAAATATGTGCACATATTACAAGTCAGAGATTTTTGCATGAAGGGTGCATTAATTGATTTTAAAATAATTGAAGGAAACATACATTATCTGCTATGATTATTTATTGAACATCAAAGTTGAACAACTAATATTAAAACACACATTGCCTAAAACCAACAGTCAAAAAATAAATAAATAACTTGCATTTGGAAACAAAATTATTTTCAATGTTTTTCATATTAAAAGTGAAAATAAGCAGTATCTCTTCTAAATAAAATGACTCTTGCATATCCTGTAAATAATATTTTAAACAGTGCATTTTTAATGTTCTGTAAACAAATATTTTAATGTAAGTAATCATTTTAAAGTAATGGAAAATAAGTCGTCTCAAGGCATCTCTGGTGCAGCTTCCAATTATTGTCAATGTAGTGCAAAGTAAGGCTCAAGAAAGGGTTCATCGTCCTACTTAACCAGAGATCAGATGTGGCTGCAATAAAC